AAGCATAGAGTTTTACTATCTTTCATCTTAAATATTAAGATTATTTTATAAATGATTTCTCGGTTTCAAGCTGTGTCCTCTGCAGCCTATGGAACCAATTGGTATGAGAATCTTCTTCCTATAGTCAGGGCCCTCTCTCAGAGCTCAGTCAGTAAAGAATCTGCCTGCAGTGCAGGACACTGGGCTTCGACCCTTGGGTCAGGAAAATCCCCTGGAGAAGGAAGTGGCAACCCACTCCAGTATCCTTGACTGGAAAATCCCATAGACAGAGGAGCCTGGTGGGCTGCAGTCGATGGGGTCGCAAATAGTCGGGCACGACTGAGCAACTAACACTTCCTGTAGTCACGTTCTCTAATGTCAACCTCTACTTCAAATTTCTCACTTAATAAAGAGTGTTAAGACTTCCTCGTCTTGAGTTTAAGATCTGTGATCTGGCTCTAACTTAAAATTCACAATTTATTTCTCAAATTACCTTTTATAACATACTATCAAACTGTAACAGATGCAATCTGTAGACTTTGTTTATCTAAGAACAATTAAAATCATTTATCAGAGTTTTGTCCTAAAGAAGTTACAGATTTTAGAATTTGATTCTAGGATTGCAATAATAGATTGAACTGAAAAAATATTAAGAAATTCATAGGGTATCTTTAAACTTTATGATAAAATAATTGCAAGCAACACATTTGTAATGGCACGCTGTATTCATAAAATTTTGACACATTGCACAATGAAGGTGCTAAATTATTTAACTTAAACTTATAAGAATCTTATGTAGTATGTATATTTTAATATATGTATTGCACTGTAATTTTATAAGACATTAAATTAGAATATATTAATCTGGGCAAGTAGTGCATAATTAGTAAGAGAATATTTTATGTATGACATCCAATATATTTTCCAAAAATCTTGAAGTTAATATATTTCTGTCAGCAAACATACAAACTTTTGCTAGTTTCTCAATATAAATCACATGGAATACTCAGGTTCTCATTCAGAAAAATTCTAGTAAAATAAAGTCCTAACAATAAGCTCCTTTTTGTTAGTAGGGTATTGAATTAAAATTGTTTGCCTTGATATCCTACTTTTATTGTTAATTTTTTCATTCATTATGCTTTGATATATTAGCAAATGAAGGAACATAAAGATTAAAATACAGTGTTTATTCCTAAACTTATCTTGTAGGAAAAAGGGAGTATCTAGGAACTATTATTGAGCATAGAGCCTTGCCCTACAGAACTGGCCTTCCAGTAAAAGGAGTGTTACCTTTAATATATGAAATTAGGTACTTTGAAGAGAGACAGAATGTGACTTGAGATATTTGATTAATTAATTCTTAAACACATTTGAATCTAAATTTGTTGATTCATTCAAAGCTGTATTTAATCAGCGTTAATCACCTCTCCGCTCAGATTTCTTTCTTAATATTTACTTGTCACTTACCTTATAACCTGATTGCTTTTTAAAATAAATTTTTCTCTTTTATTATTATCATTACTTTTAATCTTTTGGCCATGCCACTTAGCATGTAGAATCTCACTTTCCTGACCAGGTATCAAACTCATGACCCCCCCCCCCCCCCCGCAGTTGGAAGTGCAGAGTCTTAACCACTAGACCACCAAGGAACTCCCTACTTGATTTCTTTTATTGTGTTATATTATTACCTCATTTAAGTCAGCTTTTTAGCCTTTCCATCAAGGAAATTGGTGGTGGTGGTGGTTCAGTTGCTAAGTCATGTCCAACTCTTGCAACCCCATGGACTATAGCCTGCCAGGCTCTTCTGTCCATGGGGTTTCCCAGGCAAGAATACTGGAGTGGGTTGCCATTTCCTTCTTCAGGGGATCTTCCTGAGTCAGGGATCCAACCCGGTCTCCTGCACTGCAGGCGGATTTTCTTTGCTGACTGAGCCACCAGGGAAACCTTCCAAGAAAATTATTGCCTAGTAAATAGTCAATCTTAAGTCCCCTTATAATGCTGTGTGTATGCTTGTGTATGCATGTGCCTGAGGGATGGGGTTGGAGAGTTAAGTGTCATAATTACTATTCTTATAATGATAGGACACCATACTTACCCTTACATTGGTGGGTTGTACACAAAAAAGGACGTTGAATTTAGTTGTGACTCTGCTACTACTATCACTGTGAATTTTGTTGCTTTCAGTCTCCTAAACCCTTTCCTGGTAATTTTTTTTTATTATTTACCATTATTTCTTTTAATCTTGAGATTACGCATAAAGGTATTTTGCATTTTCTGGGTAAGAATCCCATGGAGAATGCCATGAAGAGTCAGACACGACTTGGCAACCAAACAAAAACAACAAAGCAGAAATGGAATGAGTCATATTATTATTGAAATTTCATTTCAAATACTTATTTTAAGCATAATTTTTCCAGTACAGAAATATATGTTAATCAGAGGAATATAACTTTACTTGACATCTAAACATTGGCAAATAAGAGGAGAAATATATCTAATATGATAGGTAATTGTGAGCTTGATGTGAATCAGGCTTTCGTTGATCAAGAAGCATTCTACTGGGTCTGAAATGTGTTCAGGGAATATTGCTATGGGGATATTTACTGCAAAAATTTTTTTTTTTCACATTTTGCACTAGTGGTGGATTTTCCACTTTTAATCAAGGAAAGTGTTCAATTACTTCATGGGAGTTTTGCTTTATTAAATGCCATGGAAAATCAACCTGAGTTTTATGGATTTAGGTATCAGATTCTTTTTTTTTTTTAATTTACCATGGCTTCCCCTTCACTTCATGGAAAATAGATGGGGAAACAATGGAAACAGTGGCTGCCTTTATTTCTTTAGGCTCCAAAATCACTGCAGATGGTGACTGCAGCCATGAGATTAAAAGACGCTTACTCCTTGGAAGGAAAGTTATAACCAACCTAGACAGCATATTAAAAAGCAGAGGCATTACTTTGCCAACAAAGGTCTGTCTAGTCAAGGCTATGGTTTTTCCAGTGGTCATGTATGGATGTGAGAGTTGGACTATAAAGAAATATGAGTGCCGAAGAATTGATGCTTTTGAACTGTGGTGTTGGAGAAGACTCTTGAGAGCCACTTGGACTGCAGGGATATCCAACCAGTCCATCCTAAAGGAGATCAGTCCTGGGTGTTCATTGGAAGGACTGATGTTGAAGCTGAAACTCCAATACTTTGGCCAACTGATGCAAAGAGCTGACTCACTTGAAAAGACCCTGATGCTGGGAGGGATTGGGGGCAGGAGAAGAAGGGGATGACAGAGGATGAGATGGTTGGATGGCATCACCAATGGACATGGGTTTGGGTGGACTCCAGGAGTTGGTGATGGACAGGGAGGCCTGGTGTTCATGGGGTCGCAAAGAGTTGGACACGACTGAGTGACTGAACTGAACTGAACTGAACATGATAAATGACTTCATCCAAAAACCACTGGTATACTGATTCTCTCTCTCTTCTCAAATATTAAGATAATGTCTAATTCACAGACTAAAACTCAGGAAAATACAAACTTAAGAGAAGTGCACAAACCAGAGATACTTCCCCTGGGACACTATTGATAGAATATCACCCACAGGAGAGGATATAAATCCTTCAGGGAGACTGAAAAAATGAAAGCCTAAAATTAGAGAACACAAAGGAATGGATTACTTTTCAGTTCAATAAGGGTCTGTAATTCTACACTGCTCAGGTGCAGATGAAAACTACTTAGGTCAGAATCAAGTCAGTTCAGTAAGAGATAGCACTATAAATAATGAGCTGTTGTCTTGTGAGTCAATCACTACCAACTGCCTGTTTAAAATGTCAGAGCTGTCAAGGTCAGTAGGCATTCACCTGATGGCAACACTGACCTAGTGTCACACACAGTCTTTAAATTAAATCTGAAGTCTCAAAAAAGGATTATCTTTGTTTTTAGTGACAATATTTGAATCAATAATATTTGGGGCACTGCACTCTAAGAGTGATATGGGTTGATTCAGATATACAAGCTGTAGACAATTGTCCATTAAAGCAACTACATTAACACTTTGGGCTTGTTAGAAATCAATATTAAGGCAGAGGCTGAGTATTTGCGTATTTTTTCTCTGTCAGTATGTCGTCACCAAATCTTTTAGAAATCAGGGTTTTCAATTCACTTTACACTACACAACCAGGACTAAAGAGTGAGGTACTGAGAAAAAGAGAATCCAGTCAGGAAGAGAAAGAAATTCACAATAGAAATAACTAGAATGAAATTTGGTTAAAAATAACTTTTATTATTATTAATATTAAAGGAACAAAGTATGTTTCCTCTGAAATAACTTGATTAGACACACTTTGTGACTTGTTTTAAATTAACGTTTAGGTACTTTTCAAGTAGATAACTAATGTGAACTCAGCTTGTTGAAAACTTGCTTAGTTACACGCTCAACAAGCCTGATGGCTTGTTTTGATTATTTTTGCCCTTTATGGAGTTAGTGTAAAGTAACACTAATTAGAAGCTTTTCTACTGAATAATCCATGTGCATTACCTTCCAAAGTTTAGCTTAAGGGGTCTACATTGACAAAAACACATTTTATTCCCTTCACTTGATTTCATTAGCAGGACTCCTCTTTGACTTTGTGTGAACATTTAGATTTTCCTCCAGAGCATGTTAGAGCACAGAACGATTAGCAGACCATTTGAAGTAACCACAGCTCAGGGATAGTGGGAATGAGCCCTATAGCACTGTGCAAGCACTGGGGCCATTTATAGATGATTTGTGCAATGGTGGATAAATAGGGATGCACTATATTGTACCAGAAGTATTTTCTCTAAAACCCTCAGTAAGTCCCTTCTATGCTAAATAATTCAAATGTATATTTTGTATTCAATAAACAATTGCAAAGAAAAGACAATGGAGTTGTAAGAAGAATTTTGCTCCATCACTATAAGTCTTTAAATTTAAAAGGAAAGTGAATATGTAAAATGATCCCAAATTGCCTACTGAATTGCTAAAAGTAAGCTGCGATGGATCGCACAGAAGCGCGCTGGCTTCGACCGACCACGCAGAAGCGTGTCCGTGAGGAGCTACCCCACGTCCGAGGTCAGGGGCGGTGTCCAAGAAGAGCTACCCTACGGCCTAGAGGAGCTACTCTACGACCGAGGTCAGGGGCAGTGGCCAAGAGGAGCTACCCCACATCCAAGGAGCAATGGCTTCGAGGGCACAGGAGGACTGAGAGGAGCTACTCCACGTTCAAGGTCAGAAGGGGTGGCCGTGAGGAGATACCCCTCGACCAAGGTAAGAGAAACCCAAGTAAGACGGTAGGTGTTGTGAGAGGGCATTGAAGGGCAGGCACATTGAACCATAATCACAGAAAACTAGCCAATCTGGTCACAGGACCACAGCCTTGTCTAACTCAATGAAACTAAGCCATGCTTTGTGGGGCCACCCAAGACGGATGGGTCATGGTGGAGAGGTCTGAGAGAATGTGGTCCACTGGAGAAGGGAATGGCAAACTACTTCAGTATTCTTGCCTTGAGAATCACATGAATAGTATGAAAAGGCAAAATGATAGGATACTGAAAGAGGAAATCCCCAGGTCAGTAGGTGCCCAATATGCTACTGGAGATCAGTGGATAAATAACTCCAGAAAGAATGAAGGGATGGAGCCAAAGCAAAAACAATACTCAGTTGTGGATGTGACTGGTGATAGAAGCAAGATCCTATGCTATAAAGAGCAGTATTGAATAGGAACCTGGAATGTTAGGCCCATGAATCAAGGCAAATTGGAAGTGGTTAAACAGGAGATGGCAAGAGTGAATGTCGACATTCTAGGAATCAGCGAACTAAAATGGACTGGAATGGGCGAATTTAACTCAAATGACCATTATATCTACTACTGTGGGCAGGAATCCTTTAGAAGAAATGGAGTGGCCATCATGGTCAACAACAGAGTCCAAAATGCAGTACTTGGATGCAGTCTCAAAAATGACAGGATGATCTCTGTTCGTTTCCAAGGCAAACCATTCAATATCATGGTAATCCAAGCCTATGCCCCAACCAGTAACACTGAAGAAGCTGAAGTTGAACGGTTCTATGAAGACCTACAAGACCTTTTAGAACTAACACCCAAAACAGATGTCCTTTTCATTATAGGGGACTGGAATGCAAAAGTAGGAAGTCAAGAAACACCTGGAGTAACAGGCAAATTTGGCCTTTGAGTATGGAATGAAGCAGGGCAAAGGCTAATAGAGTTTTGCCAAGAGAAGGCACTGGTCATAGCAAATACCCTCTTCTAACAACACAAGAGAAGACACTGCACATGGACATCACCAGGTGGTCAACACTGAAATCAGATTGGTTATATGCTTTGCAGCAAAATATGGAGAAGCTCTATACAGTTAGCTAAAAGAAGACTGGGAGCTGACTGTGGCTTAGATCATGAACTCCTTATTGCCAAATTCAGACTTAAACTGAAGAAAGTAGTGAAAACCACTCAACCTATGACCTAAATCAAATATCTTACGCCTATATAGTGGAAGTGAGAAATAAATTTAAGGGACTAAATCTGATAGAGTGCCTGATGAACTATGGACAAAGGTTCTTAACATTGTACAGGAGACAGGGATCAAGACCATCCCCATGGAAAAGAAATGCAAAAAGGCAAAATGGTTGCCTGGGGAGGCCTTAAAAATAGCTGTGAAAAGAAGGGAAGTGAAAAGCAAAGAAGAAAAGGAAAGATATCCCCATTTGAATGCAGAGTTCCAAAGAGTAGCAAGGAGAGATAAGAAAGCCTTCCTCAGCAATCAATGGAAAGAAATAGAGGAAAACAACAGAATTGGAAAGACTAGAAACCTCTTCAAGAAAATTAGAGATACCAAGGGAACATTTCATGCAAAGATGTGTTTGATAAAGGACAGAAATGGTATGGACCTAACAGAAGCATAAGATTTTAAGAAGAGGTGGCAAGAATACACAGAAGAACTGTACAAAAAATAACTTTACGACCCAGATACTCACAATGGTGTGACCACTCACCTAGAACCAGACATCCTGGAATGTGAAGTCACCTGGACCTTAGAAAGCATCACTATGAACAAAGCTAGTGGAGGAGATGGAATTCCAGTTGAGCTATTTGAAATCCTGAAAGATGATGCTGTGAAAGTGCTGCACTCAATATACCAGCAAATTTGGAAAATTCAGCAGGGGCCACAGGACTGGAAAACATCATATCAATAATCTCAGGTATGCAGAGGCCACCATCCTTATGGTAGAAAGTGAAGAGGAACTAAAAAGCCTCTTGATGAAAGTGAAAGAGGAGAGTGAAAAAGTTGGCTTAAAGCTCAACATTCAGAAAACTGAGATCATGGTATCTGGTCCCATCACTTCATGGGGAATAGATGGGGAAACAATGGAAATAGTGTCAGAATTTATTTTTGGGGGCTCCAAAATCACTGCAGATGGTGACTGCAGCCATGAAATTAAAAGATGCTTACTCCTTGGAAGGAAAGTTATGACCAACCTAGATAGCATATTAAAAAGCAGAGACATTAGCTTGCAAACAAAGGTCTGTGTAGTCAAGGCTATGGTTTTTCCAGTGGTCATGTATGGATGTGAGAGTTGGACTGTGAAGAAAGATGAACACCGAAGAATTGATGCTTTTGAACTGTGGTGTTGGAGAAGACTCTTGAGAGTTCCTTGGGCTACAAGGAGATCCAACCAGTTCATCCTAAAGGAGATCAGTCCTGGGTGTTCATTGGAAGGACTGATGTTGAAACTGAAACTCCAATACTTTGGCCACCTGATGTGAATGTTGACCCACTGGAAAAGACCCTGATGCTGGGAGGGATTGGGGCAGGAGGAGAAGGGGACGACAGAGGATGAGATGGCTGGATGGCTCCACCGACTCGATGGATATGAATTTGAGTAAACTGTGGGAGTTGGTGATGGACAGGGAGGCCTAGCATGCTGTGATTCATGGGGTCTCAAAGAGTCAAACACGACTGAGTGACTGAACTGAACTGAAGATTAACAGAGATAATGGGCAACCTACAAAATATGTAGGTATTTATGATTATTACAATTTGATTTGTGATTCTTTCTTGACATTTGAGACATTTTAGTCTATATTTATTATTTACATTTTTGAATGAACAAAACAGAGTGATGAGAAAAATGTATCAATGGAAAAAATTCCTGAATTTATCTTTTAGTTTTTAATTTTTTTCCCCATTAACTCTAATTTTATTGTTACTATGCTCATAATGTGAAAAAATCAGTCTTAGGAATCTTGGGATCATGTGAACTCTCTTTTACCTGCTCATTGGTAAACCTTCAATTCTAGGTAAATCTCAACTGAGACATAAATAGCCAGTTACCCTAATCTGTCATTTAATAACATGAGTGTTTGTCGATAGCACATGCTTGAAAAATTTTGGATCTACAAATCCCTTTGACTATGTGGATTTCCAGACAGACTCAAAATATCACCAAGAAAGTTACTAATAAAATTTGCCACAGAGCCCCTCCAGCAATGATTGTTCTGTGGATGAATTTTTCTTTTATAATCTTGCTGTCAGAGCATCTCTCCTTAGGAATATTTGATCCTATTTCATTTTGAAGTTGGTAGCAGATAATATCTCACCCATTTTATGACTCAATGTTTTCTATCATATAGAAGTGGCCTCTATTTTAGGCCATATTCTCCATTACACATGGACATATAAAATTTACATTTTTGAATGAGCCTGTGTTCAATAATATAATTCAGTTCTGTTGAGTCGCTCAGTTGTGTCCAACTCGTTGCGACCCCATGAACTGCAGCACACCAGGCCTCCCTGTCCATCACCAACTCCTGAAGCCCACCCAAAACTATGTCCATTGAGTTGGTGATGCCATCCAACCATCCCATCCTCTGTCGTTCGCTTCTCCTCCTGACCTCAATCTTTCCCAGCATCAGGGTCTTTTCAAATAAGTCAGCTCTTCAGGTCAGTTGGGCAAAGTATTGGAGTTTCAGTTTCAACATCAGTCCTTCCAATGAACACCCAGGACTGATCTCCTTTAGGATGGACTGGTTGGATCGCTTTGCAGTCCAAGGGACACTCAAGAGTCTTCTCCAACACCACAGTTCAAAAGCATCAATTCTTCAGTGCTCAACATTTTTTATAGTCCATACATGACCACTGGAAAAACCATGGCCTTGACTAGATGGACCTTTGTTGGCAAAGTAATGCCTCTGCTTTTTAATATGCTGTCTAGGTTGGTCATAACTTTCCTTCCATGTTTTAATCTCATGGGTGCAATCACCATCTGCAGTGATTTTGGAGCCCCCCAAAAAAAATGAAGTCAGCCACTGTTTCCACTGTTTCCCCATCTATTTGCCATTTAGTGTTGGGACTGGATGCCATGATCTTAAATTAGTACTTTAAAATCAGTCAAGATCTATTACTATTATTTTAATAATTCATTTTAAAAAATTTCAACATTATTATAACTTGGTAATAATAGTAAACATGCATATGACACTTAACTGAGTGTCAGACTCTCTTCTGTTAGCATATATTATTTATTAAGGAAATATTTTGAATTCTGTTTTACAGATTAGGAAACTGAGACATAACATGGTTATGCAAAGATAAAGCAATACAGTTCAGTTCAGTTCAGTTCAGTTCAGTCGCTCAGTCGTGTCCGACTCTTTGCAACCCCATGAATCACAGCATGCCAGGCCTCCCTGTCCAGTACCAGATGCCATGATCTTAGTTTTCTGAATGTGGAGCTTTAAGCCAACTTTTTCATTCTCCTCTTTCACTTTTATCAAGAGGCTTTTTAGTTCCTCTTCACTCTCTGCCATAAGGGTGCTGTCATCTGCATATCTGAGGTTATTGATATTTCTCCCGGCAATCTTGATTCCAGCTTGTGCTTCTTCCAGTCCAACGTTTCTCATGATGTACTCCGCATATAAGTTAAATAAGCAAGGTGACAATATACAGCCTTGACACACTCCTTTTCCTATTTGGAACCAGTCTGTTTTTCCATGTCCAGTTCTAACTGTTGCTTCCTGACCTGCATACAGGTTTCTCAAGAGGCAGGTCAGGTGGTCTGGTATTCCCATCTCTTTCAGAATTTTCCACAGTTTATTGTGATCCACACAGTTGAAGGGTTTCACGTAGTCAATAAAACAATTAGTAAGTGATAAATCTCAGATGTAAGTGCTGTCAGTTACCTCTAGAATCCATGCTCTTAACTTTGAAACTATAGTAGAAATTCTT